GCTTTTCTCCTGAGTATTAAATAATCTTTATAAAACTGTAAGTTAAACTTATAAAAAAAATCTAAAATAATAATAAAAAGTAAAATATGGTGAATTTGAAGTTCTCTTACATGTTCTACTATGGTGTTTAAACTCAGTAAGATTTCAATTTAAGATGCTCAGTTTAAATTATTCAGTTATATGTGTTCAGTAAATAGTTATAAGGCTGTTGCAGTAAAAGACCACATCACCTTATACATTATAAACGTTATAGAGTAACAAATACACACTGATTACCTCGACACAAAAATATCAATGTCATGGCCAAGTAGCCCACATCCTTGGAGCCAAATGTTATACACACTTCCCAGATCTTCTGGTGCAGTTTCCTCCCAGGCGGACAATCTGATTGGATTTTGCATTTGACCCTTACATTAGTGTGATAGACAGGATAAGATCTTCCCTCCCCGAGATATCCACATCCTTATCCCCGGAACATGTGAATATGTTACCTTACACGGCAAAAGGGACTTTGCAGGTGTGATTAAGTTAAGGATCTTGAGATGGGGAGAGTATCCTGCATTATCCAGGTGGGCCCAATGTAATCACAAGGGTCCTTATAAGGGACGGGGAGCAGGAGAGTCAGAGAGAGAGTTGGTAACCAAAGCAGAGGTCGGAGTGATGTGATTGCTGGCTGAAAGGGAGCTGGGAGCCAAGAGATGAGAGCGACCTCTAGAAGCTGAAAGAAGGAGAGAGAACAGATTCTCCCCCTAGAGCCTCCAGCAGGAATGCAGTCCTGCCAACACCTGATTTCAGCCCAGGGAAACCCATTTGGGACTTCTGACGTCCAGAGCTGTAAGATAATAAATATGTATTGTTTTAACCCACTAAATCTGTGGTAATTTGTTACAGCAGCAGTAAGAAACTAATACAGTATATAAATACAATTTTTCACTTAACCTTAAGATTTCTGAGTTCAATATGATCCTAAGATATGTAAATATCCGTTCTATTGAATTTTAAGGACTTTTGAAGGATCACAACAATAAAATTACATTATAAAGATAAATGGAAGCTCAAGTTTGTCTACACAGTTGTGTTTGCCCAGCACACTCTGTTCCTCACTATCCCTCATTCCGTGTGGCTTCGTAAGCACTTACTGAACGTGATTGTTCGGGTTTGTTTCTAATCAGACAGGTTCACATTCTACAGTGGACAGTCCTATGTTCTTGGAATGTGGCTTCTGCAGCTACTGGGGCTTCTTGAAGATATTCAGACACCCGAGGACTGTTGTAGATGTCACTTCTTTTTTTTTTTTTTTTAAGATTTATTTATTTATTTGACAAAGAGACAGCGAGAGAGGGAACACAAGCAGGGGGAGTGGGAGAGGGAGAAGCAGGCTTCCCGCTGAGCAGGGAGCCCGATGTGGGGCTCGATCCCAGGACCCTGGGACCATGACCCGAGCTGAAGGCAGATGCCCAACGACTGAGCTACCCAGGCGCCCTGTAGATGTCACTTCTATCAGCGACTATATGGGACAGGTCCCTAGGACGCGCATGATGACAGCCGCAGAGAACCAGCATGCTGTGGTGTGCTAAGTGCAGGGACAGACTGTTGTGCAGAACATCTTCCCATCATAGAGGGGCGAGGGTTGGGGGGTGGTCAGGGCGACCTGGCGACATGGGCCGAGAAGGGACAGCATATGACTGGAATTGCATGGCTGGGAAACATGAAAGAAAGTTTGCCATGCAACCTGGGGGACCCTTGGTGGGGAAGTGAGGAGACCCAGGCTGGGGCTGGTGGGCATCCCTCTGGAGCCGAACTCCTCCATCAGCTTGGATTCAGGCAGGCCTGGGTTTCAGTCCCAGGCCTGTCTTGTACAGTTTCTTCACCTGAACAGTGTTATCCATGCTAGATAGAACCTTCCTGTCCACAGGGAGGCAGGAGGCTACTGGAAGGGCAGGGAGGACAGCCTATGTCTAGGGAGGTAAGTCTGGCTCCAGCCGGTGCGGCCCTGGGGATCTGAGCCCACTCACCTGCGAGGACATCCCTTGCCTCCTCCCCCCTCCTCACGGTCCAGACCCAGACCTTCACTCACACTGATGGCAATACTGGCGAATGACCCAGTGAGGGGTGTGTGAGACTCCAGATTAAACTGCATGGACCAGAACCTGGGGGTGTGGCAGCTCGGGAATCTGATCCCCAGGGGACCCTGGAGCCTCACTGGAGTTGAGAACTGCTGGGTCCAGCCTCAGAACTCGAGTCTGGGTCTGCACAGACTGCTCCTGACCCACCACCCCCTTTCACGGCCAGGCTCACGCCTCAGGCCTCGTGCTGGGGATAGTGACCTTCTCCAGGTCTGCCTTCCCACGGTGTCTTTGGGGTTTGTGCAGAATGCCCAGTTACATTTTAATTCCAGATGAGCAACTTAGGTTTTTTTAGTATAAGTATATTCCAAGATTTGCATGGGATGTACTTACATTGAAAATATTACTTGTTGTTTATCTGAAATCTAAATGAACCAGTCATCTTATATTTTACCTGATAACCCTATTGCCCAGGCCTGAGGCATCTTTCCTAGTTTTGAGACACCCTCATGCCCCTGGTGGACACACTGATGCCTGGGAGATTTCCCACCTGGGCCCACCATCACTGGTCAAAGTATCCAGGGAAACCTTGCGAGAGGTGGCTTGTGGTAATTTGTTAATTTTAAATTTGTAATTTGAAGAGTGAGTGGGAAGGAAGCCTGGAAGGTGTCCCCATAAAGGGGGCCAGGCTGAGAGAGGCCGCCTTCTAGGCTCTGACCCCCTTAGGCTCCCATGGATGGGGGAGAGGGTAAACACCACCCCTGCCCTCCCCTGCCACCCAGGTCTCCAGGATGGTGGGAGGGCTCAGAACTAGTGATGGTGAATCTGGAGGAAGTTCTGGAAACAGACATGGCAAGATAAGGATCCCTCCAGATGGCTCTGTCTGACATTGAATCATCTAATCCCGGGCCTCCTTTGGGCCCGTTTCCTGGGGAGAGGGGCTGCTGGCCTGCAGAGGGCGCCCTCCCCTCACGGGGCTGGTGGTGGCCTCGAGGGCTGAGATGAGGCTGAGCGATAGGTCAGGCCAAGGAGGGGGGCACTCAACCAGGTCAGAGACTTGTAATCTGTCAGACCCACCACCTCCTAACATAAAATATTGTGGATGCCCCTTTTACAATCCTGAAATGAAATTCACACATATTACCACCAAGTCAGAGACATAAATAAAACACAAATGTATGGCTTTAATTGTAATAGAAAGGAGAAATGAAATGAAAGCAATTGAGAATAAAATAAAAAGTATTTCAGTCTGTAAATGTTTAAGCATGGCTACACTTGGAAGGCCTTGCAACGTGTAATTACCTCTGGCTTTTAGCTGTAAACAGAAGCACTGAACGTGACAGGTCAAGTGCAGGTGCGTATAGCGTAGTTATTCAGATGGGTCAACTACCTGCCAAGATTTTCTGAAAAAGGAATATTTCTTTCCTTAAAAAAAAAGTTTATTTTTTTTTAATCTTTAAGGACTCTCTACTCCCCAGCATGGGGCTGGAACTCAAGAGTTGCCTGCTCTTCTGACCAAGCCCGCCAGGCGCCCCTGAAAAAGGAATATTTCTTGCTAAAATTCCAAACTAAACAAAGTACAGATCTTCCCGGGATTTACTTAGTAGTCGTCCTCCTAGAAAATGTGGTGTATACGCTTTTAGGGCCCACATACAACACAATACTTTGTGTTTGTGTGTAAAACCGAGTTAGGTTCTAGACTTGGAGATTTATTAAATAGGTTTTTCACCAATATGAGTCCTGGGACAGTTCTTTGCTGCAGGGCCATCCCCCTGCCCACCAGTGATGCCCCCGCCCCCCATCACTGTACCCACAATTCTATAAAACGTGCTCTGTGAAGGTCAGCATAAGGAGGTCACATGGGGAAACCCGGAACCCCCAGCCTCCAGCTTGGCCCCCTGCACTGCAACCTGGGGCTCACTGCACCCCCAGTTTACAGACACTCAACTCCGCTAGCTCCTGGGTCTGAGCCAAACACAGTGGCCCGCAGGTTGTTCGGGGTGTAGAGGTGAGGCAAAGGATACAGGATGGACTCCCCTTCTATGTTCCCTCCTTTCCAGGGACTCTGTCTGGAGCCGGTGGGGGAGGAGACAGCCACGTGTCCAGTTGTGGTGGACAGGGTGACGCGGCTCCCAGATCCCTCTCCCAGGAAGGACTCGCTGCCCCAGCTGTTGGGAGTGCTGTCCACCCTTCAGGGATGGCCCCAGCTACAGAGCTTCTTCCCTAAGGTTACCCCCTCCTCCAGGCAGCCCACATCCACGGACTTCCTAAGCAAGGAATCTGAAGGCCTGGCCATCTGAGCCCCCCTTAGGACACCTCTGAAAGGCACAGGTGCTCCAGGGCTCCTGAGGGGTCAGACTTGTGCTACAGCTCTGCTTCTCCCTCTGCCCACTCCCGCTCTGTCCTCTCCCTTCCACAGGTGTAGATCCCAAGGCCTCCTCAATAAACTCCTGCACCTTCAACTCCACCTTGGAGTCTTCTTAGAGAAGCCAACCTGTGACACCTGGCAACGGGCAGTGCTGGGGGATTGTGGGACCCAGGTCCTGGGAAGGGCAGCGTAGGGAAGGACGGGATCATTCCTGCTGCCGGCATTTGGGAGGGCCCCGTATCAGTCAGGGTCCTCCAGAGAAAAGGACCCAATAGGGTAAGTATAAATAGAAAGAGATTTAGTATGAGGGACAGGCCTGTGTGCTTGTGGAGGCTGAGGGGTCCCACCATCTGCTGCCGGCAAGCTGGAGGCCCCGGAGAGCCGGGGGTGGTGTTCCAAGTCCAAAACCAAAGGTCTGAGAACCCGGGGAGCCCACGGTGTAAGTCCCAGTCTGAGTCTAAAGGTCCAAGAACCTGGAGTGCTGATGTCTGAGGACGGAGAAGACAGATGTCCCAGCTCAAGGAGAGAGCAAATTCACCTCTCCTCTGCCTTTTTGTTCCATTCAGACCCTCAGATCGGAGGATGGCCACCCATACTGGTGAGGGTGATCTTCGCTCCATCTGCAGATCCACATGCCAAGATCTTCTGAAAACACCCTCATAGTCACACCCTGCAATAATGTTTTACCAGCTGTCTGGACATCGCTCAGCCCAGTCAAGTCGACGCATAACATTAGCCATCTTAGCCCTCCTAGAGGAGGTGGCCTGTGGGCCATCTTGAAGGACCGTTAGGACTTGAAGAATCTGAGACTGGGCAGGAAGAAGGGCATTTCAGCTGATCACTATTTCCATCATCGCTGATGGCGTGCTCTTGTACCCTTGGGGTAGGTTATTTTTACATTTCACATGAGCGGGGAGGCCAGCGTGGGGGAATGCTGAGGCGTGGGGCTCTGCTGGAAGAGAAGGCTGGATTGAGTGGGAACATAGGCTTTATCTGGAAGGCAACGGGGAGCTTTAGAGCAGGGAGAACTGTTGCAGGATAGGCATTTTTACAAAGGTCTCTGTGGTACAAATGCATGTTGCATTAGAAAAGTTTGAGGCTGTTGCTGACGTCTGAGTGAGATCCCACAAGTCCTGCCCAGAGCCATGGCCATAGGGACACACTCAGGAAATGACTGGGTGGCGGGGGGGGGGGGGGGGGAGGGAAGGATGGCCCCCGGCCCGGAGCTGAGCGTGTGGAGGATGGTCACTGGGCAGGTGTGGATGGCTGCCGGGGACTCTGGGGTTTTCCTCGGGGGGGGGGATGGGGGAGTGAGTTTTCTCTTGTACAGGGTCTGCCTGGGGACCCATCAGATGTGAGGACTCTAGTCCCTGTTATGGCTGGCTCGAGGGGAGGGCCGGGAGAACAAGGGCTAGTATGAAGGTAACACTAGCTAATGTAACAAAGAACACCCTCACCCCAACACACGCATATTCATTTCAGTGCCTTAACCCAATACAGTGTTCACCTGTGTACATCCTAATGCAGGTGCTCCTAGTTAGCAGGTGGCTCTTCTCCAGGGTGACCAAGGCTCCTCTAGTTTGTGGCTCTATGTGCTCTAAGGTCCCCAGTGTTCCCTGCATTCAGTGGATGGATGGGCAAAGAGAGGGGCACACCCACTTCTTAAAGGTCTTGACCAAGAAGTGACACACATCACCTCTGCTTGCGTTCCACTGGTGAGAACCAATCAAGGGGCCATGCTAGATGCAAAGGCAACTGGGAAATGTAGTCCATGGTTGGGCAGCCACTTCCCAGTGACCACTGCTTCTGGCAGAGGGGAAGAGGAGTGCTGGGTCTACAGGTAGTCCTCTTGCCCCATCTGGCAGTGGGCCCGGCAGGAGGAAAGGCCCCCAGTCTCCAGCAGGCTTCCAGGAACAGGTGTCCACACTGAGTGTTGAGGGCACTTTGTGCACCCTGTGGGTGGGATCTGCCCACAATAGGCTGGGGGGTGGTAGGGTACGTGGAACGTGGCCCTCACGTGCTCCGTATGTGATGTGGCAATTGTGGGCTCTGTGTGTATTGTGCACAAGGGCAGTATTGATTTTCTATTGCTGTGTAACAAACGAGCACACATTTAGCAGCTTATACAACATGCATCGATTAACTCACAGGTTAGAAGTCAGGTGGGGATGGTTAGGGTCTTTCCTGAGAGTCCTACAAGGCCAAAATCAAGGTGTGGCTGGGCTGGGCTCTTCTCTGGAGGCTCCAGGAAAGATGTACTTCTAGACTCAGGTTGTGGGCAGAATTCAGTCCCTTGCGATTGTAGGACTGACTGACGCTGTCTCCTTGCTGACTGTCTGCTGGGGGTCGCCCTCAGTTCTAGAAGGCACCTTCTGGTCCTTGCCTGTGGCCCCTCCACTTTCAAAGCCAGCAAACGTGTCAAATCCTTCTGGTGCCTTGGAGCTCTCTGATGTCTGCTGGTAACACATGCTTTTTAAAAAATTTTTTATTTATTTGCGAGAGGGAGAGAGAGCACAAACAGGGGGAGGGGCAGAAGGAGAGGGAGAAGCAGACTCCCCTCTGAGCAGGGAGTCAGACAGGGGGCTCGATCCCAGGACCCCGGGATCATGACCTGAGCCAAAGGCAGATACTTAACCGACTGAACCACCCAGTGCCCCGGAAAACTTGCTCTTAAAGGGCTAGTGGGATTAGATTAAGCCTGCTCAGATAATCTCCCTTTTGCCATACGCCATAATCACAGGAGTGATATCTCATCATATTCATAAGTACCACCCACACTCAGAGGGGCGGGGGTCCGACAAGGTCAAGGGTCAGTGGGGATCATTCTTAGAATTCTCGCTCCCACAAGGGCTGGGTCCAAATGTCCTTGATCCTAGTTTCCTCCTCTGCAAAGTGCAGATAATTGTATCATATGAAGATATGGTGAGAATTAAATTTATTTATCCATGTATATGAACAAACATTTGCCAAGCACCTTCTGTGTGCGGGGGGCCGCTCTGGGCACCAGGGATCCAGCTGCAAACATGACAGGCAAAGGTGACGTGCGGGAAGGGCCAGTAGCACACCTTGGCTTGTGCTTGGGCAGCGGTCACAGAGTTGCTGGCCTGGGGCTGACATTTCAGGCCTTTGTCATCCCTCCTCCCCTGCTGCCTGGCACAACCTCTTGTGCGCTCCCCAGGCCCAGGAGCAGACATCTCCCAGTTGTTGGGAGGACAAGCCACCTCCCCTGAGCTCAGGCATGCAAAGTGGTGGCATTCGCAGCGACTCTATCCATCAGCTCCATCCAAGGATTCAGAGAATTCATCTGCAGATGTCTCCTGGGACATTTAAAGCGATTAAGACAAATACCTATTGACTGCTCACGATGTGCTGTGCTTCCTCCAGGCCACCCTCCCAGACTGCCCGCAGCGGGGCACGATCCCTCTTGGGCGACCATGGTCCAGCCTGCTCCTCTCCTGCAGCACGGTGCCCCCCACTCCCAGTCCCACTCCACTGGGGGGCCATATCTTTTTTTTTTTTTAAGATTTTATTTATTTGTCAGAGAGAGAGAGAGCACAAGCAGAGGGAGGGAGAGGGAGAAGCAGGCTTCCCGCGGAGCAGGGAGCCCGATGCGGGGCTCGATCCCAGGACCCTGGGATCATGACCTGAGCCGAAGGCAGACGCTTAATGACTGAGCCACCCAGGCGTCCCTGGGGGGCCATATCTTACCTCCATTCCTGGCCTCTGTCTGGAGGAACAGTTGCCTAAGGAGGCAACTGATCGAATCCTGTCAATTTCAGCCTTGGCCCCTATACCCCCCAACTCTGGAGAAAATAGAGGCCAAGATAGAGGCTCTTGCTTTCAAGTGGTAGCTCTAAAGGCCTAAGCTCTCACCTTCCTCTCCCTGCGACTCCCACTTAAAAGGCTCCTTCGTATACATCCGCACCCCCCCCCCCGGTCCTAGAGCCCCTTCTCACCTGAATCTTCAGTTCCAGTCCTATTTCACAGCCCGCTGTCACCCAAACTCAAGGACCCTCACCATTTCCCCAGTCCTAGAAATCCCTCCCTCCACCTGGACTCACAGATGTCTGAGGAGTGAATAATTGATGGTAGCTGAAGAGCAGAGCGGGAAGAGGGCTGGTTTGAATCCTGGCTGTTCCTCAGCGACTCGATGTGGAAGGTTATGTTCAGTGTGGTGGGGCCCCCCCCGGAGTGAGCTGGGGCCGCATTGCGGTGCAGATGGTCCACGGTGGAGAGCTGGGGGGAGAGGACCCAGGGGCTGCTGGCGCGGGCATCCGAGGACAGAGGAGGCTCCTGGACAGGAGTCAGGCTGAGGGACGTGGGCCAGGACGAAGCTCGGCTGTCAGAGGGGAGGGTCCCCTAGGCACAATGGGGGTCCTTGGGTTGTCACTGGGAAAGGAGACTTCTTGGTTCTGACCAAGAGGGGCCATGGAGGAAGAACATTTTTTAAAAGTGTGGAAAACTCATGTTTATTAACCATTCTTTCCTGTGAGATCATGAGCTCTGCTTTGGGAGCCTTAAAACCTAGGAGAACTTGGCAGGGGATCCTACAGGTGGCCTTGGCAGGTGGAGACCACAGCCTGGGAAACATGGGTGGGTTGGTTATACACAGATCTGAGCTCTGAATGACATGATGTCACTGGCGGGGGACCCCCTCCTCCCCCAGGAGCAGGGGCTGCTGCTAGCTCTCAGCGGATACTCCTGGTTATAAAGGAGACGGAGGTCCGGACTGCACGTGTGCGCTCCTCACCTTTCTGGGGGCCGTCTGCCGCGTTTCCTTCGGCCCAGAGAGTAGAGAGCCGGCCCAGTAGAATGGATCACTGAGGAGGTGCCGGTTTTCTGTGACAGCCCAGCGAGAGAGGCTGCTGACCTCAGGGAGCAGGAACGCAGGCTGTCTGAAATCATGATGATGATGGACAGAAGGGGAAAGACTGCCTTTGTTCCTCGCACAGAGCTGCCAGGGTGAGCACACGTGTGTGTTTGCACGCGAGCCTGTGCATAGCAGGAACCCAGGAGAATGACATTTCACTGGCTGAGCTCCAAGTCAGCTCCCAAGAAAATGTAAAATTCAAAGACACTTTGGTCTTGCTTCCTGCTGTGTTCCCAAGCGCCCTCAAGAATCACGGGCAGGCGGGCTGGAGCTCAGGGACCCATGTGAGGCGGGCGCTGCTGTTGGCGTGCTCAGCCAGGGCTCCTGTCCGGCGTGTCCCCGCCAGGTACCCTGCTCTTTGCCCAGAGGCCTCCTGAGGGTCCTTCTATGCCTTCGATTCCCAGCTATCCTTCCATGCCCAGCCTCCATCCCGAGCTCTAAACTGCGTGTTGGCCATGTCCCCGTTGTGGGGAGGGTAGATGGGAGCAGAAGGTGTGCTCTTCTCCGAGGGCAGATGGAAGCCTGGCCAACACCAGCGCTCACACCCAGGAAGCCAGAGCGCAGTCCCATGGCCCCACCTAGCGATGTGGTAGGCTGGCAAAGGTGCCCGGCTCACAGGCAGGGGTCTGTTTTTAAAGGAAGAAAGCGAGAGTGGATTCTGGATAACAGCATTTTGTCCACAGAGCAAGAGAGATGGAGGGTGGATTGGAGGCTTGCGTGTGGAGGCAGGGAGGCCAGGTTAGAGGCTATTGTAGTAAAATCCAAGGAAGAAGTTATGGTGACCTGGACCAGGAGGTGGCCGCTGGGGTGAGACAAGTGGAAGGACTCAAGAAATATTTAGGAGGTAGAACCAACAGGATTTGGTATTAAATATTGAGGGTGCGGGCGCCTGGGTGGCTCAGTCGTTAAGTGTCTGCCTTCGGCTCAGGTCATGGTCCCAGGGTCCTGGGATCGAGCCCCACATCGGGCTCTCTGCTCGGCAGGGAGCCTGCTTCTCCCTCTCCCACTCCCCC